TTGCCCCATCTTCCTTCTGAGGAGTGGCTGGTGGGTTTGAACCGCCAGCCTTCTGATTAGCAGTCAAGTGCCTTAGGCACTACGCTACCAGAGCTCCTGGAGAATCCCATATATTCAAAATGGCAAGGTTGGCCACCATCTTGAGTGGGGAGGCGCCATCTTTGAGAAGGGCAGAGCTGTTTGGAAGCCCTGCGTTAATGTTATATAAATTTCCCCTCACTTTGAAATAATCAAACCAATCCCTATTCACAAGTTCTTCATCATATTCACTTTCACTTGCTACACATGCAGCTTTGAAATAACTGGAAAGATCTGAGTCTCCTCTTTCACTAAGTAAGGCTAAATAAGAAACTATTCTGATTGACCTACAAATTCTTAAAGATACAGTTAGGAATTGATCTTGTTTGTAACCTGGGGACTGCCTGTACCATTCTTCTCTCACTGTCTCAAATCATGAATAAATTTAATTCCCTCATTTAACTGACTTCCCATTTTCATCTTAATCTCTTCTGTGTGATTCAATTCAGTTCACTTTCTTAGTCTTCTCTAACCTGCCCAGTTTCATGCTCATCCCTCGATATTTTAAAAATCAACAAGCTATTAAAACCATCACTGATGCCATTACAAGTGAGTGCGGGAAAGAAATACATCTGTTGCTAATGAGGCATAAAAAAGAAGCCCTTAGCCCAGTCTAGTGGGGTCCAGGGAGGGTCTGTTGAGGATATGAACCCAAAACAGAGACCTGAAAGGTGAACAAGTTGAATAAACAATAAGTGTACAAGGGTCAGTGTAAGGAATGGCATTCAAAGCAGAGGAAACAGGAAGACTAAAGGTGTGGTGAAAGTACGGCAGTACCTATCGCTCACTAAAGTTAAACCTGCGGTTACAAGCCTAGACAGCTCCATTTCTCATTGTGCCTATAAGCATTTTAGGACTTTCTGGTAAAGAGTTATATTTAACTTATGTTTTTTAAGTTGGAAAAATACTGTCATTTGTATTTGGCATCTTTTTTTTTTTTCAGTTTTAATGCTTTTATTTTATATATTTATGATAAAAACTTATTTTCCATCTCTGAAAACTTATCAATATTTTTAGTGAAAACAATATGATTTAATGTGCTTTCTGTTGATCTTTGTATAATACTCTGCAACCTACATTTCAAAAGTACGAATCTATAGACATTTCAATAGTCGATTTTAATGGTTGACATAGGTGATACAAGGTAGTTTGTCATCTCTGAAGTATATTATTGCCTGCTTTTCTGAAATCATACGTGTTCTCCAATTCCATCTATTGCTTATACAGAAATTCTGGTGACATTGTGATACCAAATGTATTTGACATCTCTTTAACACTAGAACATCTCTAACACTGCGATCTCTGTAGTTCATCATTCTAGAATGTTTCTAAGGTGATTTCTAGGGAGTACACAGTCTATACTCAGTGAAATTTAATGGCATGGAAGAATTTGATAAGGGTCCTTTAGAATCTATCATCTGGCTCATAAGTAAATACTACCACAGTGCTATTATTGGAAAGAGAGAAAATAACAAGGAAACAATCAAATCACTTCCATCTCTGTGTGTGGCACTTAATACGATTTTATTTTTTTAAATATAAAATCTATTTAGATATTTGGGTATGTCTACCATATAAATCATATGAATGAATACTGCTATACTTGAAAGATATATGCATTCAGGCTTTTAACATTAAGCTTTTAATTCTGAAAAATTCAGAACTCTGTATCAAAAGATTTACTATACTTAAAAGAAAATAGAAATTACTAAATACACTGTACTGTAAAACATCATATTGCTCTGGTATGGATATCTTTTTTTTCTTCTTAAGGTGGAAACAAAAAGTTTAAAGTGTTAGGGGTTAAAAACATTGAATGTTAAACATTAGAAAGTGGATCAAACTGCAGAACCTGTGCCTAAAGTAAGTGCTATGTTCCAGAATTCAATATTTATTTTTGAATGATTATTTTCAAACTATATTCAGCATATGAAACACATAGCTTGAGAGAAGCTCCTCAGAATGCAGCTAGTTAATAGACAGATGGAATATTTAATTTCACACATGAAGCAGGAGGCTACAGATAAGCATTATTTTCTTCTGAAAAACAAACCTTAAGGAAATAGTTGTTATTGTTATTGCAGTTGCCAGAGAGTCCTTGAAATTCAGTCACAATGTTCTAAAATGGTTGACAACGAAAATTAAAGAAAGTTTTTCCCCACCTACAGACAGCAGCCTAATGATAAAGGATAGAAAAAAAAAATACTTGACAGTCCATTTCTTACTGTAATAAGCACTGCTGAGTACCAAGAGTATATTGCTGCAGCTCAGTAAAAATGTCTCTACTGTAAGTTTCTCAATATTATAGACACAGTTATCAAGTCAATTCATATTATTAAATTCACTTTATTAAAAGAGCATCCATAATAATTGCACTCTCTTGTTCATCCAGCACAAACTGTATCTAACCAAGAAAAGCAAACAGTATGAGTCAAATTTAATGTTATCCCTTTAATACCTTTCACATGAACATCATATTCATAAAAACATTTTAATACTTGTATAAATCATAGCTTTCATATTTCTGCCTCTAATGACCACATATTAATACAAGCAACAAAAATGCATATTCATGTAGTAGTTAATCACATTGTACTCAACAGTTTAAAAAATTCTAAAAAAAAATAAGCTAATGCTGTCATGTGTTATGATATTAATTTTCAGTAATGAAAACAAATTACGAAAGGCTGATTAAGTTATACTTTACAGAGAAGTGTTTTAGTGTCTCGAGTAATGATTAACCTTGTTACGAACTAATGCCTAAAGAGACTTTAGAATGCCATCTACATACAGTCTAAGACTTAAAAATTTAATGAACATTATGTTTTAAAAAAATATTCAAAGAAGTAATCATATAATTTTGAAAGTGCATGTGGAATAACTCATTATAATTGGAATGACCATATCTACTTTCTATTTTTAAAAAACGGTCGTGCACCAGTTGATATTTCATTTCCAGTTTGAGCTCACAGCATATCAAATTGTATAATGCTCTCTGACAGAAATAGATACCAAAATTATACAAACATGCCCCACACACCACAAAATACATACCAGAATTGCCACCACTACAAGGCTAAACATTGATAGTTGTAAACTATGATGAAATATTAAATTTGTTATTGTAAAGTAAAATCTTGTTGAAAAATTTACCATACCCCCAGAATTTCATGGGATAGTGCTGACTGTCTGAGGGGGATATTCAAATCTTCCATGGCAACCTTTCATATTGTTTAGGAAGAGAGAGGGAAATAAAGAAAGAAAGTGAGAGAGAGAAACAAAAATTGTTAAATCTTGAAACAATACCACTAATCACAGATAAATTCCAATCTATACTTAAAATGTTTATATTCTTCAAATTTACAACTCTTTTTCTTCTTTATAGCACCCCATCTTTTGGTCTCCAGAATTAAGGAAGTGCCACTTCAACTATTACTATTTTTTTTTTAAATCAGAATGTTTAACACAGAGTGAACAGGAAAATGAAGGTAAATTAAAACTGAATTGGCTTTTTTGCTTCTTTTAAACTCTGTTTAAATATTTAGAGGAAGAAAAAAGAAAAAAAAAGCATAAATTTAAATATAGTTTACAGATTATCTATAGATTTCAATCTTATTGGAGTATGACCTATAGTTATTCCTAAATACGTTTCTAATATAGGACCACCGTACCTTTCCAACTGGGGGATATATTTCTCATATTGCAATGTTTTCCCTAAACAATTCAAGCAAGTAACTGCACTCTGAGTATGTGACAAGTTCCAAGTTTGAAACAACTTTGGATGATGTGATCAAAAACAGAGGCTATCTACCCTTCACTAGAGAATGCTGCCCTAAAAGCTGGCTCTACAAATTAGTTGGATGAACTTGACTGCTTTGCATTTCATTAAAGGTGTTTCTGGCTGGTGCAGGGAAGGTCACAGGGCATATTGTAAAATAAAAATGATTCTAATTTTGAAATCACAAGCTGATTCCATAAATTATAAGAAACAGGAGAAACCACGTGACTGATTACCTATATTGAAGACTTGTTTTAACAAAGGTATGTAAATCGATAAACTGTTCAATTACATATGAAATTAACTCAGTTTTTCAAGGACCATTTATCCATTGGCTATCCAATGTTGGCTGGTTCTCATTTCCCTTATGACTCTCAGACATTTTACTTCTCACTAACAGAAAGAAAGTAAATAGGGAATAAAGGTATAACATTTGAATCAACCAATTTAGTAGTATTTGGTAGCATTAGTAAAGAAAAATGATTCTGTGTCAAGTAGATACATTAAAGCCTTTACAATGGAGTTAATTTTCATTATTTGTACAGCTTTCATTTCTCCTACATATAGAAAAATAATCATTGATTTTACCTGGGGATGTTCTAGTTAGGATATGCTCTGGTGAGGCAAGAAAGGAAGCAAACATAAGAGAAGAGGATGAAAGATAGATGTAAAAGGAAAGTTTCCTTGACCTTTTCAAGAAAGGAAGGATGACTTGGCGTGAAATAATTGGCAAGCATCCAACCTCTACAGCTTATAGAAAAAAGAAACCACTTAACTTCAAGCTAAACTCTAATTCTTTCATAAACTATTTTATGCAATTATTTTCCCCTAAAACACTATGAAGATGATACTTCATGGGCTGCTACCTAGGGGAAAAAAAAATCCACCAAATACTCCTGTTCTCCTATTTTGCTGAAATACAGAAAAAATAATCACAGAAGCTAAGTGTTATGAGAAACTTCATCAACCCAAAACATCCAACATCTCTTGTTACCCAGTTATTCAATGTGTGCCTGAATAGAGCCAGACCCATCAGGAGGACACTGTCCTTTCCATTCAAAGCCAGTACAGTGTGTTGTTAAGAGTCCAGGTTCTCTGGAGACGCTATTATTTTAATCTTCACTTTGCCAACACTAGCTACCACTAGGGAAAGTCTAAGTTTCTGCGTTTCTGGCGGGGGGGGGGGGCAATCTCTTCTAGTTGCTGTACAGATTAACCAAAATCATGTAGGAAAGGCAGCTTGCAAAGTGCCTAGCACTGAGTATTTATTTACTCACCTTACCCCTGGAAAATATCTGCTTAAGTAGTAATCAGCTCTGCTTTCCTTAGAGAGACAGGCAAACAAAAAACCTCACAAAATCCATTTGTTGTATGATGTGTTACTAAGTATAAATGCTAAGTAGCAAATGTTCAGTTTCCATTTACTCAAACTTTTAAATTAAAGAAAAATTCTTACACAAATTGAAAACTTTCAGAGATAAATGGAATCAATTCCTCAAAATAATGGGAGGAAATACACGGTACTTTATCTAAAAACTTCACCTGGGAAGCCTGAACAATCTATCTTAATTTCACTCTGTCCTTGCTATATCTGATGACTTATTATCAGATTAATGGAATGTTAGGACCTAGAAGGAATTTAGAGAATCAGGCCCATCCCTGTTCTTTAAATCCAAGAACACTGAGGAACAGAGATTAGATACATTGGCCACCTCACTTTCCACCACTTGATGTCACCGTACTACCCTCAAGCTCAGATCCAAACAGAGAGAGGAGGTTATGTGTGGCTTTCAAAAACAAACCTGCACAGAGAATTCTGTGGTCCTAAAATGGGCTTTCAGAGAAGGCAAATCAGTGTCTCTGATAAAAGACAAACTACTACTGCAGATAACTGAAAACTAGGTAACAAAAGAAGATCAAATACTTGAGGAAATGGCTCCTTTTATAAGTTCAGAATTCAAGACAACATATTTTCATGTATATTAGTATAGTAAGAAAATACTTGCCATTTCAAATGAATTCTTCAAGTGAAAAATTATACCAAGTAATCAGAATTCTAAGAAACTAATTCTTTCATGTAAAGGGGTTTTCTAACTCCTGGGTCAAAAATAAATGTTCCAATTCTCATTTTTTATCATAAAAAATGAAGAATGCATTCTTACACCACAAATACATGAAAACAATATATATTTAGGTTAAAACATGTCAGGCTAAAAATATGTGAAAATTGTTTGAATGTCTGTTTATTAATCTCTACTATGCCCTAGCTATAAACCAAAACAGCTGTAGAAAATAGTATATTCAGATAAGGAGAGGCTCAATAAATGAAGATGTACTGTGAATCTTGTATAGGGCTTCTACAGAGAAGAGTGTTTGTTTTATGTGAATATTATGTTTATAAAGTATGAAATACTACAACTAAATTGTTGATGGATCTTTTGGCATGCTAATATGAAACATATGTACATTTAAACATGTTTATAATAAAACATATTGTTCCATTATATCCATGTATATTTGGCATTCACATTAGAAATAAACCAGCATCTGTATCATATTACAACATCCAGAGAGTCTTTTTCACTTGGGGGTTAGCTTCCATTCATTTACTTGATCTTCTACAGAGAGCAGGATGCAAAATTATTCCAATATGTATCTACTCTGTAGAACATGTGCTAGTGGAAAATCTTTGTTCTGCATTATGTTAGCACAAATCCCAGCAAGCAGATCCAAAGAACTTTCTCTTCCTGGGGGAAAAAAACCCTGGAAACAGTTAGCAATTTTTGGTACTTCTCTGCGGATGTGTGTATATGATGTGTTTTTTCACTTAAAATGCTTACTGATATTTTGAAAAGAAAAAAAGGCATTACATGCTTATTGTACAAAACTGGAAAAAATATACACCAAAGGAAGAAAAGCACTGACAGACAAGGGTTACATTTTGGTTTTACCTTGTTGGTGTGTGTTTATGAATTTCTTTGTATTAGTGTGACAAAAATTTATTTGATTCCACAGTCTTCATACTGTAAATAGGATATCATTCTTTCATTCATAAGTTAATAGGAAACACAAATAATTTTTCTGTAGAGTTGAACTTTAGTTGAATGCAGACACAACCTCCTTGAGAATCTACAAAAAAAACCTGGCACACTTTTCATACAGTAGAAGAGTTTAACAAAGCAGTAAATGTAGTGAAAAAAACATGAAGCAAAAAGAACTAATAGCAGTTCCACTGACCTCGTCATCATCAGCATCATACTGGGCATAGCGCTGCTCCAGCAGCTCTCTCTGGCGCCTTTCTTGTTCCAGAGTCTGGCTTATCAACTGGGCAACTTCACTGACTTGTCCTGGCTTTTCCCGTCCAATAATAAACCTATAGAGAGGTTAAAGAGGGCACAAATAGTTAGACTCTTCAGGAAAAATGAGTGCTCAGAAGAGTAACCTACTTACTACCTCATCAGTGTTCATCAAGCCTCAATAAAACAGTATCACCTACATACTTCACATGGCATGTGTGTGTGCATAAGAAAAGGTTGAGATGGTCAAATAAAGTAATTTTGAAAGACATAGCCCATAAGGAAAAAGAAATGGAGAATACAAGGACCATAAAAATATCTTAAGAATGATCACTTTGGAAAAAGATGTAACAAATGTAATCCATTCTGAAGTACTCTACACATTTTTGATACTTTACAAATGAAAACAAAATCATAATGTACTCTTTATGGGCTATTGTTTCAAAAACATTTTAAAATCTAGTATAACTTAAGTGATTTAATAAATGGAGGGGCACTGCTATCTTACGATATAACTTTGGAGATAAATGAAAGAAGGGAAAACAGATGCATGATTTTTTAAATTCTGTTTTTAAGATGGAAAACTAAAATATTGAGAGATTCTGAATTAATTATCTTCTGGTGAAGGGGAAAGGGTGAGGATACTAGAAATAAAAGGACAAAGGAAAATATCTGTGGATATTCATTACTGTAAGAAAAATGCCTATAGACAAAAACCAGGAAAAACATTTACTGATTGCAACCAATAGTCATGATATAATCTTATCAATGAAACATAATCATTCAGTAAATTGATATTCACTTTTAAAAATCTTTTTACAATAATACATGGTTCTATTACTTGAAAATGGAAAATAATATGTCTCTAGAATATAGCTTCTGAATATCACATCATTATTTTGAATGTGACTTGGTTTAATCTTCTAATTCTATATTGATGTTTTCTTAATATTAAACTAAGCTGCTGTATTCAAGTATAATTTTAAATTAAATACTCTCGCATTCTAGTAGAAACATACAAAAGATCAAAATTCTGAAACTTTAATTATATATTTTATATATTCAAACAAGACTTAACTTTGAAGTTACGCTTAGGTGTTTATTATTTGAGTTATTTATCTTTGGGAATCAAAACACTATAATTTGTCTTTGTTGAAGTATAATTTATGTACGATGAAATAAACCTATTTTAAACATTTAGTTCAATAAGTTTGAAAAATGTGTACACATATCACCATATCAACCAAAATATAAAACATACAAAATATTCCCTTATTCCTTTTTCCCAGTAAATTATCCTCACCCTGGATCCCAGGAAACCACTAATATGCTTTCTGTCAACACGTACTAGACTTGTCTCCTCTACAATGCCATATAAATGCAAACACAGAGTATCTTGCTTCCTTCACTCATGTTTTTCAGATTTATACATATTGTTGTAACTAGGAGTGATTTGTTCTCTTTTATTGCTGAGCAGTGTTCTGTTGTATTGGATATATCCCATTAGGTTTATCTACTGTTTTACTGATGGCTATTTCGGTTGGATTTTGGATATTATGAATAAAGAAAGTTCAATAAATATGCATGTGCCTATCTTTCTACACAAGTTTTTATTTCTCTTAAGGAGTAGCAAAGTGCCTAAGGCACTTGACTGCTAACCAGAAGACTGGCAGTTCAAACGCACCAGCCACTCCTCGGAAGGATGTTGGGCAATCTACTTCCTTAGTGATACGGCCTCAGAAACCCAAGGAGGGGTTGCTGTGAGATGGGTCCGACTCGACAGCACATAACAACATGGTAATGTACAACTAAATTTTTAAGGAATCACTAATTATTTTTCAAAGTAGTTGTGCCATCCTCTATTCTCACTAGCAGTGCATGAAAGTTACGGTTGTTCCACATACTCACCAATAGTTAGCACTGTCTTTTTAAATTTTAGAAATTCTGGTGGGTTTCTAGTAGTACCTCATTATGGTTTTAGTTGGCAATGCGCTAACAATTAATTATGTTAAGTATCATTTCATGTACTTATTGACCATTTATCTATCTTCTTCTGTGAAATATCTTTTCAAAGATATTTTGTCTTTTTAAAAAGTTGTGTTGTGTGACTTTTTATGATTGAGCTGTAAGGTTTCTTTATATATTTTCATTATGCATCCTTGGCTATATATAACATACATATACTCACTTGTTTAACTTACTATCTTAGTCTAGTCAATGACTTCCTTTTTCATTTTCTTAATTGTATCTTTCAAGGAAGTTCAATTTATCATTTTTTTAAAGAAATCTTTCATTTCCTATCTAAGACAATGTTTGCCTGCCTTAAGATTGCTGAGATTTTCTCCTACTTTTCTTCTTCAAGTGTTACAGTCTCTGGGTGACACAAATGGTTAGCACACTCAGCTGCTACCTGAAAATCTGGATGTTCAAATCCACCCAGAGGCAACTTGGAAAAAAGTCCTAGGGATCCACTGTCAAAATCTAGCCATTGAAAACATGGTGGAGCACAGTTCTACTCAAATATATGTGAGGTTTCCATGAATTGTGGTCAACTTGGCAGTAAGTGATTTTATGATGCCTTACGAATAAAGTAAAGCTTTATGTGTGATGTGTGGTAAGGATAGAGTTTCATTTTTTTCCAAAGGGATAAACAGTTGTTTTAACATCATTTGTTAAAAAAAAAAAAAAAAAAACTATTCATTTAAACTATTTGTTGAAAATTAATTTATTATCCCTATTGAATGATTTGGGTACATTTGCTAATAAGACTGAAGATTCATGAAGTCATCATAACCTGATAAGGTAACCTAGGCACATAATGCCTATCTTGAATTAATTATATTTTTGGTAACATTCTAAAGGTGAGAGATGATCTAGTGATACAAATATAAAGCAATTCAGAAACACATACCTTAGAATGGTGGCATCAGGTAAGCCCAATTTGACCTTTTATCTTTCTTTAAATATATAATAGGGTGAGTTGGGGAGGGAGGTATTGTTTACCAACTATAAATTTGGTAAGAGACCAAAGGAAGCCATGTTAATAGAAAACAGTAGCTAAATTCAATAACAAAGTAAATTAGAATTGATTCATTTAAGCCATAATTCTTTTAACTCAATTGAGAATTACATTGTCAGGTTTCTGAGTTCAATAGTGTTCCCTAAAGAATGGGAACTGCCAGTCCCAGAAAACAATGTGTATGAATTGTTGAAAGGAAAAGCAATTTAATCCAGAAACTTTCACCCTAATCACAATTAAAAAAAAAAAAAAAAAAAAAGATTCAGACTACCAGACAACTGTTTAAAGTTATTCTGATGGAAGTAAGGTAAAGATGGATGTGATCTGGAAATTATCCACTTGCCAGGAGTTGAAATAATTCCTAATTAATTCTAACAATGAATAAAGGAGTCTTAAGAAAGATCTTGTGAGAGATTTTGCCTGGTGGAACCACTGAGACGATGGCCCCTAGCTGCCCCTCAGGTATGGAACTGAACCCACGCCTGTGGCTTCCAGCCAAACAATGGACAGGCATATGAGCTGAACATCTATCTGAGGTAGATACACTCCTTGGAGAGAACAAGCATGGGAGAGAGAAGGGCTGCTTATGCACGGGGAGACAGGTTAGGGGACTGGAGTGCATGGAGGGAAGGACACAGGGAAGAGGTAACTATCGGGAGGAAGGAGGACGGGAGCTGTTGCATTGTGGTAAATTGTGGTCAATGTCATGAGACAAAGTGTATATGAACTGCTGTATGGAAAGTATATTTGCTTGGTAAATTTTCACCCAAATCACAATTAAAAAAAAAAAGAAAAAAGAAAGATCTTGTGAGAGATTTTAAAGAACAGAATTATAACAAAAAATTATAATATTACAATTAATTGTTGTTATTACTTCCCGTGGAGTTGATTTAGACTCATGGAGACCCCATGTGTGCAGAGTAGGAATAGTCTGTAGGGATTTCAAGGCTATGATTTTTCAGAAGCAGATTACCAGGCCTGTCTTCTGAAGTACTTCTAGGTGGATGTGAACTGCCAGCCTTTCAGGTAGTAGTACAACACTTAACCATGAATGCCATGGAGGACTCCCAGAATTAATTACATAATAATAAATTATATGACTACATAATCATAAACTATATATGTTGTTGTTATGTCCCATCGAGTCGGACCTGACTCATAGTGACCCTCCTTGGGTTTCCAAGGCGGTATCACTACAGAAGTAGATTGCCCAACCTTCCTTCCCAGGAATGGCTGGTGGGTTTGAACCGCCAGCCTTCTGGTTAGCAGTCAAATATAGTAGATCAAAACTTCAATAATGATATACAAGTTTTTTTCTATCTATGAAAAAATGATCCATAATTTCAAACTAGAATTCCTTGTGGAACAAAAATTAAAAGGTACATATACACATATAATAAAAGTTTCAGAGAAATAAGAACTTGTTTCACACCATGTAAGAAACTATTTTAAATCATTAAGGCACAATTCATCAAAATCACAGCTTGGTTTTCTGAATTTGCACCAACAGTTTAACATTAACTACTATTTGCATAATATTAGTTTATTTTACAATCACTTTACAGTCTGATAACAGGGAAATAATTTGCAATTGCACAGATTAAGACAGACAATGCCTCTCATTAAATATACTTACAGGTTCACACATTTTTGCTTTAAAACTATGTTAAAGCATGGCCATTTTCATGTGAGGAGCTGTCTTGGGCAGTGTTACAACATCCAGCTACACATATCTATTTATCTATGTAACCCAGTATAAAGGAGTCCTAATGGATGAGTCGGGGCCGACTCGACGGCACATAACAACAACAACAACAACAATGGCACAATAGGAGCTCTGGTAGCATAGTGCCTAAGGCACTTGACTGCTCACCAGAAGGCTGGCGGTTCAAACCCACTAGCCACTCCTCGGAAGGAAGGTTGGGCAATCCTACTTCCATAGTGATACTGCCTCGGAAACCCAAGGAGGGGTCGCTATGAGTCAGGGCCGACTCGACGGCAAACAACAACAACAACAACAAAACGGCACAATGGTTAAATGCTCAGTTATTAAATGAC